CTTCAGTGTGAGTTTGATCCCCAGCCCCAGAGGTGACCCACATGGTGCGGCAGACCTCTCCTGACCCGCCTGCTGCTCCCCTCAGCAGTGTACTTAGTTGATCTGCCTATTTTGCTCCCCACTCTGTCTCTGGTGAATCCTCTCACTGCCCCTGCACCTCTAGCCTGTACCCCAATTCTGTATGCATAAATAAATAAATCTTTAAAAAAATAAAATAAAATCTTTTTTTAAAAATGGGTAACAAACCCAACAATCTAAATCAGAAATACTTGGTAATACCAATTTAAGTATGAAAAAAAGAATTTGAAATAAAAACTTGTTTTCTGAAAAATCAGGAGTGGGAGAAAGCATCGTGCAGTAATCAGTGCCTGACACATCTAATTCTTGGGAAACTGAACTCTTGGTAGGGGAAGGCATAGCCACATAACAGATGTGTGGCAGTGTCTCCAGGGATGAACCAAAGGAAGGTACAAAATACCTTTAAAAAGAGCCACCGTGTCAGCTGCCTTGTAAAGATTCTCTTTTGAATCAATAACATAGCACCTCTTCACCATGAAATTTATGTAATTTTTCACAACATTAAATAGCCCCTGACTGTGTTATTTTTGATCCAGTCTTGTGATTCTCACTGCCTCTCCACCCACACCACACTTGTTGGGTTACCAAGATTTACTGCAATATTTGCAACAGAGCAGATTGCACTGTCACCACTCACAGCACACAGGAACAGAAGAAAGGAGATGGCAGGGTCCTTCTTCAGGAGAGATATCCAGGGCCTGTGCTAAAAGGGAGACACTGGGAACAGAGTGGCAAGGATGGACTTGAGACATTTAGGAGAATGGAATCAATTTTTCAAGATTTATTTATTTATGCACACAGAACTGGGGTGCAGGCCAGAGGTGCAGAGGCAGTGAGAAGATTCCCCAGCGACAGAGTGGGGAGCAGAGCAGGCAGATCAACGAAGTACACTGCTGAGGGGAGCAGCGGGCGGGTCAGGAGAGGTCTGCCGCACCATGTGGTCACCTCCGGGGCAGGCAGGAATCGAACTCATGCGGAAGCGGCTTTAGCTTCTCAGTGCAGTGCTTTAACCCGCTGCGCCACCAGGGAGGGCCTCCTTTTGTCTTAATACTTAAAAAGTTGACTTCATAATGCTGTTTTGATATTGGACAGAACAGGGTGGCTTATTAAATCAGAATTTCAGAATTGGAAGGACTCTGGGGGGGGTCATCTAATCCAATCTTTTAATTTTCTATATAAGACCTGCCACCACTGAATTCAGCAGCCAATTGATGTTTCTAGCGCCCTCGCCTCAGTCCCAGTGACACTCATCTTCACAGTGACCACCCATTAGTATAGCCACTCTGTGACCTTCATCAGTTTACCTCTTACTAAAACCTTACAGTCTCTGGTCACTTGAGCTGTGAAATAGAAATAAATCTACCTGCTTCAGTAGGATGTTTGTAAAATAAAATCCAGAAAATAAAAAACTAGTAATTCAGCCATTAGGAAGACAACCCAAAATGTCAAAGGGATTTAAGTAAAGATTTTTCCAAAGAAAAGGTAAGTAAGAATGGTCAATAAGCACATGAAAAGATGCCCAGCACCATTAGTTATTGGGAAATGAAGCCAACAATGAGATGCCATTCACACCCACTGGAGGGGCTGTAATAAAAAAGTAAGTGCTAATGAGCATGTGAGAAATGACAGCCTCATACTTTGCTGGTGGGAATACATGATGCTGCTGCCACTTAGGAAAACAGTCTGTGTCTGACAGTTAGTTGTTCAAAAGCTAAACAGTGTTAACGTATGATCCAGTAATGCCATTTCGTAGATAAATGAAAATCCAGGTCCACCTGAGCATTTGTGCACAGATGTTCGTGGACATATTCATAATAGACACAAGTGAAAGCAATCCAAATGCTCTCAAAAATGAACAGGTAAAATGTGGTACATACAAATAGTGTTCAGACACCGGATGGAACGAAGGAATGCTAAATGATGAGACTTGAAAACATGCTAAGTGAAAGAAATCAACTACAAAATACCACAATCGCCAAATCTATAGAGGAGTAGTTCTTAAGGACTGAGGTGAGGAATGAGGAGTGGCTACTAGTGGGTTTCTCTCTAGGGTGATAAAAACGTCTTGGAATTGGTGGTAATGTTTGCAAAACAGACTAAGCTAAAAGTCCCTTTACTGAATGCTTTCGTAAAAGGATTCATTCTATATGGGTGATGCATCAGTTTTTTTTAAAGTCCAAAAAATGGCCTAGTGGGCCCTTCCTGGTGGCACAACCAGTGAAAGCACAGCTCTGTGAAACTCTCCCAAGCCACTGGCCGGTTGATACCTGGCCAGAGAGGTGACCCACATGGCGTGGCAGACTTCTGCCTCACCACTGCTCCCCTCAGCAGTCTATCTTGTCAATCTGCCTGTTCTGTTCCGCATTTTGTCTCTGGTGAATCCTCTCACCTCCCCCCTGCACCTCTGGCTTGTACCCCAGATCCTGTGTGCATAAATAAATAATTTTTTTTAAAAAATGAAATGGCTTAGTCCTGTGCCTAGCTCCTAGCATATAGTAGACCTCCAATCACATTTAACTATTATCTATATTTTGGCTTCAACCGACTTCCTAGTAGGCATCCATTATTGTGAGATTCCAAGATATATTTACTAACATTTTATTATTAGGTGCTTTGTATGCCCTACAAATTGTGCTAGCTCTTAAGTTTATGGAGATCACAATGACTTGATGTGTCAAAGATTACTAGAGAGGTTAAGCATTGGGGGAAAAAAAATTTAGTACTGAGGTAAAGTACCATGGATAAAAAGCTGCAGCAGAGAATATAAATGAGGCAATACTTGAGTCACTCAAAAACGAATTGGGAATTGGATAAGTTTGGGTATTCTAGGTAGTGGGGGCAAGGTGAAGGCAGGGTGAACAGAACATGTTGGGAAGTGCAAGTAAAGAAGAAGTTGTAATACTGGATGTATGAAGTGGAATGAAATTTCATTTAATACAATAATGTAAATCTGTTCACTATTTAAAGACCTTGTGCATTAATTGAAAACATTTGGGTTTACTTAAAAATGATGGAAAAGAGGCCTCCGGGGTGGGCAGGGGTTAAACTCTCAGCACTATCAAGCGATAGCCAGCCACTACAGGCTGACCCAGCAAGGCAGACCTCTCCTGACCCACCTGCTGCTCCCCACAGCAGTGTGTTTCAGTGGATCTGACTGTTCTGCCCCCGCCTCTGTCTCTGGTAAATCCTGTTAGCACCCCCCCACACACACCTCTGGCCTGTATCCCAGTTCTTTGTGTGCATAAAAAAATAAAAACTTGTGGGCTCTCTCTGGTGGCGCAACGGGTTAGGACGCAGCACTACAAGCTAGTTGCAGCTGCTTCAGTGTGAGTTTGATCTCCAGCCCTAGAGGTGACCCACATGGTGCGGCAGACCTCTCCTGACCCGCCTGCTGCTCCCCTCAGCAGTGTACTTAGTTGATCTGCCTATTTTGCTCCCCACTATGTCTCAGGTGAGTCCTCTCACTGCCCCTGCACCTCTGAACTGTATCCCAGCTCTGTATGCAT